CTACAGCCCACTTCTTTGGAAAATTTGTTAGTCTCTAAGGTGCCACAAGTACTCCTGTTCTTCTTTTTGCGGATACAGACTAACACGGCTGCTACTCTGAAACCTGTCTTAATGTTACTGAGGCAGTTGCCAAAATTAGTCCACCCAGAAAGTTCTCTGATTACAGTAAAGACTCAGTTCATGTGGCGCCTACGACACTCAGCTCCCATCATTGTCAATGGGAGATGAGGCCACTGAGCTACTCCTTTCCCAAAACGGCATTGACAGGATCAGGTCCTAAATACGAATGGCTCCATGGTTGCAAAACAAAATGTTGGCCAGGTTTTTACATGGAAAATCCTAAGTGAACATTTACTTTTTGTGCATCTGTTTATTATCCCATATTTCCCTATCTGAAAGGAACTCATTGCTCAGCTAAGCTATTGAACGTTTCCTCTTTGTAGAGAGGAAAGAGAACATGCTGTGCTTTTTACACTGTCCCCAAGCTATTAATATCTAATGTGTGTGTGTGTGTGGCACACCTCTTCAGCAGCTTGAAGGTCGTCATCATCATAGGCATCAGCCTTTCCTGCCGCTGCAAGTCCTTGAGATAGTACCATTTTTTTGTCTTCAGCCTATTTAAGGAAAATAAATATACCACATAGCTACATGATAAGATAATACCAGCAGTCAAAAGGTTATGAAAGTAAAACAAGGAAGAAACTGTAATTCAGTTTTATATTTAAATAACTGAAATATATTATCTTCTGCCTAGCATCCAAGTTCAGGCCCTGCCCAAGCAAGTGCAACTCACTTTGAGTTTAATGGGAATCCAGCCTGTGTAAGACTGATGGCTATTTAGCCCCCCCCCCCATCTCTGTGTATGGTATAGCAGGTCAAATATAAGAAAGCAGCATTTTTTACAAGTGTATTTTAATATACATAAAGTCTAAATCTAGATCAAAGTAGTGGTTTAAAATATGTGCACCTGAAAACACATTTTAAATATAAAGATATAAACCTATGTGGGGGACTGTCCACTTTCAGAAGAATTAATTCTGTTAAGGTAAGTAGCATTCCCCAGAGATTTATACTGTATTTCTTGACACCACGTCATCACTCTGCCCAAACATTTAAGTCCCCTCTCTTGTAGTGGCTTAATTCAGATGACAAATGGCGACACTCTGACATATTGGCTAACAAAGCCAACAGGACTTTGTGAAGGGACATAGTCATATTTTATGGACTGCACTTCAGTCATAGCTGCAGATTGGTTTATTTTTTACCCACAGCCACACAGTTAGAAATATCTTCTTATATTACTTGAATATTAAATTTATAAGTTAAATGTTGGTGTGCTACTGGTTCTTCACATACCCTACCGCCAACCATATTATGCTTTCCTACCAACCTGCAACAGGATATGCTCACAATTTGATGCATTATCTATATCAATAAGAACATCTTGTTACTGAAACAAAGTAATATTGTGCTGCAGCATGTTCTATTTCTATGGGTGTATTAAATTATACAATTTTTAGGGCTGTCAAGCGATTTAAAAAAGTATTTGTGATTAATCGCACTGTTAAGCAATAAAATACCATAAATATTTATGGATGTTTTCTGTATTTTCCAATATTTTCCTACTTCTTGTTCAGCCAATTGCTCAGACAAACAAGTTTGTTTACATTTGCAGATAATGCTGCCCACTTCTTGTTTACAATGTCTCCTGAAAGTGAGAACGGGGGCTCGCATGGCACTGTTGTAGCCGGTGTCGCAGGACATTTACATGCCAGATGCACTAAAGATTCATATGTTCCTTCATGCTTCAAGCACCATTCCAGAGGGGATGCATCCATGCTGATGATGGATTCTGCTTGATAACTATCCAAACAGTGCGGACAGACGCATGTTCATTTTCATCATCTGAGTCAGATGCCACCAGCAGAAGGCTGATTTTCTTTTTTGGTGGTTCAGGTTTTGTAGTTTCCGCATTGGAGGGTTGCTCTTTTAAGCCTTCTGAAAGCATGCTCCACGCCTTGTCCCTCTTGGATTTTGGAAGGTACTTCAGATTCTTAAACCTTGGGTCGAGTACTGTAGCTATCTTTAGAAATCTCACATTGGTACCTTCTTTGCGTTTTGTCAAATCTGCAGCGAAAGTTTTCTTAAAATCAATGGCATGTGCTGAATCATCATCTGAGACTACTATAACATGAAATACATGGCAGAATGCGGGTAAAACAGAGCCGGAGACATACAATTCTCCCCCAAGTAGTTCAGTCACAAATTTAATTAACATTTTTTTTTTAAACGAGCGTCATCAGCATGCAAGCACGTCCTCTGGAATGGTGTCCGAAGCATGAAGGGGCATATGAATGTATAGCATATCTGGCACATAAATACCTTGCAATGCTGACTACAAAAGTCCCATGCATACGCCTGGTCTCACTTTCAGGTGACATTGTTAATAAGAAGCAGATAGCATGATCTCCCATAAATGTAAACAGACTTGTTTGTTTTAGCAATTGGCTAAACAAGAAGTAAGACTGAGTAGACTTGTTGCCTCTAAAGTTTTGCATTGTTTTGTTTTGAGTGCAGTTATGTAACCAAAAAAAAAAAAAATCTACATTTTGTAAATTGCACTTTCACAATAAAGAGATCACACTACAGTACTTGTAGGAAGTGAACTGAAAAATGCTATTTCATTTATCATTTTTACAGTGCAAATATTTGTAATAAAAATAATAAAGTGAGCACACTACACTTCGTATTCTGTGTTGTAATTGAAATCAATATATTTGAAAACTTAGAAAAATGTCCAAAAATATTAAATAAATTTCAATTGGTATTCCATTGTTTAACAATGCGATTAAAACTGCAATTAATCATAATACATTTTTTAATCGGTTACTTTTTTTTTTTTTTTTTTAAGTATAATCGTGTCAGTGAACTGCGATTAAATTGACAGCCCTAAAAATTTGATATGCACAGTACTAGTAAGAGCATTATTTAATCAAAAACAAAGCATGGTCACATTAGCTATAATAAGGGACAATCTTACAATATTTTATTCATGGCACAGCATAATACATTTGCATCACAGCATATGATCCTTTGCGTGATCATTGCTTGAAAACAATTTTATCTAATCAAATGACTTTTAGCAGTCTGTTATTGGATTTGTGTCAAACAGATTGTTTGTGAAAGCAGCCTGACATGACCTTTTAAGGGATATTTTCAATGTCGGGAGATAATTTAAAAAAAGAGGTAGAAATCAATTATATCTTTCATGGGCTGCAGAGCTTTAGTTTCATTTAGCATTAAAAAAAAAAAAAAAAGGAACAACAAAACACACAAGCCTGCTGACTTCATAGCCTTCCTTCAAGATTTTCCAGAATTGAGGTTTCTTTAGAAGAGAAAAAATACGATTCCTTCCCCCTTGACCACACTGTTGTTTCTTAATTTATATCAGTAATCAATATTACCCCTTACCTTCTCCATTTTGCCTGCTTGTCTGCTAAATCCATACCTCCTAAAATACACATGAAAGAAGTTAAAGAAATGTGTTGCTGGAACAACCAACATTCTCAATTTCATAAATACACTTGTATTAATTTTCTGTACCTAAGAAATGCACTAAGAGGTAAATTCTGTAACACAAGAAAAAAAGCCAGCTTTGGGTTAGTTACTGAATGCTCCAATAAAATAGACTTTATGGCATATTTTCAATTTAATTTTCATTTCCCCACCAATCTTTCTATACTGTCATTCCATAGAGCTGCAATCAACATTCTATAGTGCTCATGTCTGCAGAGCAATATGCTCTTACTTAGGGGAGGCTTAATCATTGGTGGAGGAAAGTAAAGCTTAGCAGTTATTTATATATGCCTGATTCAGGAAAGCGCTTAAGTTCCACTGAAGTCAATGAATGGGACTCGTGCAATGCTTAAACACTTCTCTGAATTGCAATTTTTTCCCTATATCAAGGCCTTAAATCCTCACAGCACTAAATACATACACACAAATGGGCTTTTGGTTTAATTTTTTCCTCAAAGAAAAACGTATCCCCCACTAACCCACATTTTTAAACAGAGTGTATTTTGTTATTATGCACAACTTTTCACAAGTAACCAAATGTTATTAGGTCAAAAATGAGTAACCAAACTCAGCATTATAAAGACTCACAAAAAAAATAAAAAAATATATACACACAAGTATGAAAGGACAAGCTTGACATTCCTGGAAAAATTATTTGGAGATAAAAGACTGTTTAAAGTGGTGTTTGCTGTAGAAGGAGTTTCTAACATCCTATGAATAAAAGTAGTAAAAGTTTAAACAAAAGGCTCTCACAGTGGGAAACACCCCTGATATCACTAACTGCCCACTTATCTCCTTCAACCTTTGTACCTTCAGGGTCAAATTCAGCCTTTGATTATGCCAACACAACTCCCAGCCTTAAGAACCTGATCTACACTAGAAAGTTATACTACTTTAACTATGCTGGTAGAGTTAAAGCAGTACAATCCTCCTCTTCTGGATGCAGTTATATCAGTTTAAAGGTGCTTTATACTGGCACAGCTATTCCCATATGGGAAGGGGAATTAGCTATAAAAGTCATCTACATAATTGCATCCACACCAGGGGTTATACCAGTATAACTACTTCAGCAATAAATATAGAAATAAATCACACTCCTAACAGGTACAGTTACACTGGTACAAAACTTATGCATATACCATGCCTTATAGCAGTGGTCCCCAACGCGATGCCCACGGGCGCCATGGCACCCGCTGGAGCATTTATGTGCACCCGTTTAGTGCCCAGCAGGGGAGAGAAGCCGCAGCCCCACGCCCGACAGGGACAGAGAACTCAGGCTGTGGGCGCAGTGTTCTCTGTTCCCGGCAGGTGCGGGGCCCGCCTAGTGCCCAGCGGGGGAGAGAAGCCGGGGCCCCGCGTCTGCTGGGGACAGAGTACTCTGGGGCTGCGGGCGCCAGTGTTCTCTGTCCTCGCGGCTTCTCTCTGGATTCATATATTATGTAATATTAAATACACCTCTACCTCGATATAACGCTGTCCTCGGGAGCCAAAAAATCTTACCGTGTTATAGGTGAAATTGCGTTATATTGAACTTGCTTTGATCCACCGGAGTGCGCAGCCTCGCCCCCGGAGCACTGCTTTACCACATTATATCCGAATTCGTGTTATATCGGGTCGCGTTATATCGAGGTAGCAGTGTATGATGTTTTTTGTATTATTTAATGTATAAATACAAAATAAGCCTTGAAAAATTGTTGGCGCCCACCACACTCTTCTGAAAACATGAATGTGCTACTGGCCACAAAAAGGTTGGGGACCAATACCTTATAGAATGTACTGTACTACAAACGGATGTATTAGAACCTTTGCCCCCAAATTAATTTGTGATATGTAAATAAGGGGTGGCCAAACCCCACAGAACTCAACAGAAAGATTTCACTGGGCTTCGGATTAGGGTTTTGGCCAACCTATGAGCTTTAAACTCAGAAAGACTAGTAGAAGAAAAGACAAGTGAGAATATGGCAGCAGATATTCAGTGTCTATAGCCATATTATGCCACATGCCATAACTGTATATAGTAATGCCCATCTGTTTCTCCAGGCATTTGGAAGGAATGGAGTTAAAGGCTAAATGGGCTTTATAATTACTATGTCTGCAGTGAAGGAGTCTTAGGGCTAGCCTACATGATAGATATAAAAAGCAACAGAGGGTCCTGTGGCACCTTTAAGACTAACAGAAGTATTGGGAGCATAAGCTTTCGTGGGTAAGAACCTCACTTCTTCAGATGCAAGTGAAGTTCTTACCCACAAAAGCTTATGCTCCCAATACTTCTGTTAGTCTTAAAGGTGCCACAGGGCCCTCTATTACTTTTTACAGATTCAGACTAACACGGCTACCCCTCTGATACATGATAGATGTAGTCTTTTTTCAAACAGGATTATATTAACAGGTACTAAGGAACTTTTAGTGTGCACCAGCAGGGTCCACATGGGCCACTTAGTGTGCAAGATGCTGGTGTGAACTAGAATTTACACCCAAATTAGTTTGGACTAAGGTATTGTGTAAAGACGGCCTGATTCAATTACTGTACTACGTCTGATCTGTATTTGTTGAAATGGGATCAATGGTCCATTCCAAAATTATTATGGCAGTTAAAACATTGAAGGTTACCACTTACACCTTTGTGCAATGTGCCTCATTCTTAAGTACAGCTGCTTATTTTATTTTAATTTACATCATCCTACATTATACCCAATAATACCAGTCTAAACTTTAATGTTTTCCTCTTTGCTAGCACTTAAGCTTTTGTAGTCATCCTTAGTCTATTAAACGTTGATTTCTGCTTCCCATTTCCCTCAACAACTTTTACTATATATTTAATCTTTCTCCTCTCTCTGATTACCACCACTTTTGGCTGGCAGGTTCAATGCAGACCTATGATCACACAAACGTTTTCCTTCTCTGACCAAATGCAATGCAGTTTACGCCACAGTTTCAGATCTCTTCTGTAATCATAATTCTGTACATATCACATGTTCTCATTTGTTGCTTATTGTGCCGTATCAAAAATGGTTCTCTTCAGTCAGGAGTCCCAGAACATATTCCTGTTATAATATGTTATGCAAGATATCCATACTTAATCCATTACAATTCTGCAATATTCCTAGTTTTCTCCAAGTTCCCTTCACTGTTTATAAATCAGCCTAAATTTCCACAATTCCTAACAGCATGCTACACATACTGTAATAATTAAAGGGGCTAATATCAGCTCAAATGATCAATCTAACAAATTTCCAGTCATGCCCACTACCCTGCAAACTGCATGCCTCTAGTCTCCTTTAATTTCCTACTGAAGCTCCTTGACTTTGTAAATGAGCTCTTTAACAAACCTTGTATTTTAAGCATATTTTGTTTCACGAGTTCTCACTAATTCATGACTGAATCTAACAAAAACCTCATTTCCACTACAAGACCTTTTTATCCTTCAATGCCTGTCCATCCCTATTTTTATTTGCTCTCTCTGTACTTGCCCTTTCCTCTGAAGTCCTAGTTTAAACCTCCTTATGCTGCAGCTTTATCTGTTCTTTCCACCAGTTTGGTTCCTCTTTCCTCAGGTGTAGAGGAAACGTGCCTCCAAATGTTCTGCAACATTTAAGCCAAAATCATTACTGATGATCCACAAGATGAAAATTTCCTTGGTTTTACTCCATCTTTCAAGCTGCTCATTCAGATTCTTAAATGTAGTGGGCCTGGAAGAGCACCAAAACCTTCCTATAAAAAAAATCTACCCAGAATTTGATATTCCTGAGATTTTTACTCTCGCCTGCTGGGGTCCAATCTGCTGATCTAAACCAGAACTATCTCAGGATTTAAATGGGCAGTCCTAAAAAGGGGGGGGGGGGAGAGAATCTACTAGCACACAAGTCAAAATCATTCCCAGCCGAGTGCCACCAACCAGTGCAGAAACTAGTATTTCATTAAAAAAAAAAGTCTAGCTTAGATCATTGCAAAGAATATTTTCCAACAGTAAATTGTTGAGTGTAGCAGAGACAGATGTTTAATGGAATGCAATGGAGCCACTCCCAACTGTAACATTATATTTTTCTTTATAAAAGTAAAAACAAAATTCATTATGAAGTGGTCACAAGTAATTAAAAACTAATTCTAATTAATTCTACCCAAAAACTAAAAAAAATTGCCCTTTTAAAATACAAAGTTTTCCAAATGAACAAAAACTTCAGGGAGAAGCCAGCAATTTTATTCATTCAAGAAGGTATTTTAAAAAATGGTAGATTCATGGGAATATTTCAATTAGGAATGGGCAAAATTCTGCAGCCTTTGGACAAACTCCCACTGACTTGTTGTTTCAAAGCATATTGTAAGATTTCTCAACACGGTAGCTAAGGAACATTTACTCATTTTCCGTCACAAATGTGCAGCTGTGTCATTTCAAGATTACGGCACACAGTTTTTGTAAATGTTAGATTCGTTATAGAATTATTAACAACTGTATACAGGAACTCCTCACTTGACATTGTAGTTATGTTCCTGAAAAATGTGACTTTAAGCAAAACTATATTAAGTAAATCCAATTTCCCCATAAGAATTAATGTAAATGAGGGAGTTAGGTTCCAGGGAAATTTTTTTCACCAGACAAAAAGACTATATATACACATACATAGTACACATAAACAAACAATTTAATACTGGTACACAGTGATGATGATTGTGAAGCTTCGTTGAGGTGGAGGAGTCAGAGGGTGGGATATTTCCCAGGGAATGCCTTACTGCTAAATGAACTAGCAATTGACTGAGCCCTCAAGGGTTAAACTCTCACAACACTCTACAAGGCAGCAGGAAAGGAGGGAGGCAGACAGAGACACACACCCTGTGTGTGAGAGAAAAAATGCGCATTTCCCCTTTAAGAAGCTGACCCCAGGCTTAAGTACACTGCCTTGTTAATTAAATCAGCTTGCTGAGACCGGAGACAGCAGCTACTGCCTAGAAACTCTCTCCCTCCCGTCGTGTGTCCCCCCTGCTCTATGGAAGATGGGGTAAGTGGGCTGCAGGAGCAGGGGAAGACACCCTAACATTAGCCCCCCTCTTACCCCCTCCCCCAGTACAGCAAGCAGGAGTCTATGGGAGCAGCTGCAAGGTAGAAGGCAGGAGCAGCACATGGCAGTGGGGGGAGGGACAGCTGCTGCACAGGGAACTTAGGGGAGTGGGGAGCTGATAGGGGGGCTGCTGGTCCACCCTGGTTCCAACCACCCACCAGCTAGCTGCAACGGGCTGCTCTTCCTGCAAGCAGTGGACAAAACAGGTGGCTGCCAAAGACATTAGAAGGGAGCATTTCACAACTTTAAACAAGCATGTTCCCTAATTGATCAGCAACTTGACATCGAAACAATGTTAACCGGGACGACTTTAAGTGAGGAGTTCCTGTATACAACAGGCATCTTATTTCTTGAAGCACTAGAGATTCCGATGATAGAGTAGTGTTCTGAACAGATCCAGAGATCTCATTAGATCTACTTACACACAATGGCAAATACACTTATTTTTCCGCGCCAATCTGCTAATATTTAAAATATCTATATTGAAATCCACTGAAAAATAATGTTCTTTGGTTAGCTTATGTATAGCATTCAAAGGTGCAAGCATGTGTGCTGAGTGAAAGGAGAGTCTTTTCTCATTCATATTTGCATTCCAAATATACCTCAATAGTTCTGTTAAGAACATAGTGGAATAAAATCTGCAGTCTTATTGTCAATGGGCAGGAAAGAAAATGTTAGTCCATGCTGCCATTGCCAAATACACAGAGAATGAGAGGAAATGTTATAAAGCATGCTCCAACACAGGGCACCGTTGCTGCCTTAAAATAAAAGTCAAAAGGAACATACTCACAGTAAAGAGTCAGTAAATCTAAGGTGGGGAGGAGGGATGAAAAAAAAGATACAAAAAAGGAAAGAAAAAAAAAGATATAAAACTCAATACTAGCTGAAGAACTTAGAAAGAGATCACAGTGGAAAAGTCATCTGGTAAGGGAGGCTTAAGTATTACTAAGCTAAGAAAAAGAAAATATTAGAAATAGAAGTTGGAAACAGAAAGTATATTAGTAACTCCAGTTCCTTCTTCCCAAATACTGAACATGTTTTCCCCCATTTATCTCATAAGAAACTGGAAAGATTTCAAAAGGCAACAGATATTTGCAAATATTTATTTTCAATTAGCTGTGTCTCTTCATCTGGAAGTTCGTTCGCATAGCACAGGCAGCATCAGTGCTATAGCCACAATTCAGTCTCCTGAGGTATTAACCACATCCTCACCATTTCAAAACAAAATGATAACCCCACTGCACTTCAATCCCCTTTCTTTCAGACTTCCAGAAATCACTCCCTGAAAGGCAACATTGGTTAAAGATCACAGCTGAAAGTCTCAACCCAGTTAGAAGTGTCAGGAATCTAGACCAATTTTTTTTACGTGCACAGATCAACCATGTACAATAAACTATCATTATTTATATGATAGTGGTGCTAACAGACCTCACCCAGGGACTGAATCTCCACTGTGTTAGGCACTGTACATATCAACAAGACAGCCCTTGCTCCAAAGTGTTTATAGTTTAAGTAAACTTAAAATGTGAAACCCAACATCTCTTTAAACCTGAGCAGTCTGCATGAAAATAAAAGGGTTCCAAACAAAAACCTAGGTTGCTAGGCTTACACAATATAAAGCATTTGAACCACATCAGGATAAGTGAACAGTTAACACTGATGAGATCCACTTACCTGCCATATTCCAAAAGTGTGGCATGAACCTTAGATTCCTCATCTAGCAGCTCTTCTGCTCCATCCTGACGTTTGTATTTTCTCTGGGGTTTATAAACCTCCTGCAAGATAGTAAACGAATTCAGAAACTGTCAAGAACTTCTCCTAAATAAATGGTTTTATTTTTTAAATGGATAATGACCAATCCCACGTTCAACTTCCCACCTCCTCCATCCACGCTGCTTTGAATTCTGCTTCTGCAGTTAGGTTTGTACACCCTGACCACGTTAGACCTAAAAGGCTTCGTAGAGCACCTCTTTTCTTTCTCCCTCTTCTTCCTTTTTTCTAATATTACACATGAATATTTCACAAAAGGCATAATTTATTCAATTTGCCATTTTAAGCACATTTGAAAAGATGGCCAAAACCAACAAAACAGATGCCTCTTTAAATGAAAAAACCTATAATTAAACAGACAGCTTCAGTAACTGGGAATTATGTCTTAATTGGATAATTAAATTTAATTACTATCTACTTAATTGCTGCTCCTTTAGCCACTCACACAGGAGGGGAAAACAGATTCTATTATATTTTAAGGGGAAAAGCATGCAGGAAAAAAAATTCCCAGCATTCTATCAACCAAAATTAATCAATGCCATATTGTAGTTAAGTTAAAGAATGTTCAATACAATTAAATACTAGTTGGAGAGAAGTGCAGTAAATACAGTAGAATCTCAGAGTTACAAACAACAGAGTTATGAACTGATCAGTCAACCACACACCTCATTTGGAACCTGAAGTATGCAATCATCATCAGCAGAGACAAATAAAAGCAAATACTGTACAGTACAGCACTGTGTTAAACTACTAAAAAAATAAAGGGAAAGTTTAAAAAAGATTTAACGAGGAAAGGAAACTGTTTCTGTGCTTGTTTAATATAAATTAATAGGGTTAAAAGCAGCATTTTTCTTCTGCACGGTAAAGTTTCAAAGCTGTATTAAGTCAACATTCAGTTGTAAACGTTTGAAAGAAATGTAACGTTTTGTTCAGAGTTATGAACAACCTCCATTCCCAAGGTGTCCGTAACTGAGGTTCTACTGTACCATGCAGGATCACTAAGGCCACATCTATAAAGTTCTGTAGCACTGTAACTATTGGGTGGGGTGATTTTTTTAAATGATATTGTTATACCTGTACACCCCCTAGCCTGGATGTAGTTATGCCAATATGAAGATGCCTTATACCAGAATAGCTTATTCTCCTTCCTGTGTGGGAACAGCTATACCGGTATAAGCACAAATATACTACACTGTGGGGCTATACCACTTAAACTATATTCGTATAATGAAGCAGTACAACCTTTTATGTATAACAAAGACCTAAGAGTACTTCAGGGAAGTAACAAAAGAACTACTGGATCCAGGATATGAAGCACTTTTAATGGGGTTATTTTTGTCATTTGTTTGGTGCGAGGGAGAGGCAAATACACGAGACATTCTGTAACTGGAACAATAGTTCTTAAAAAGTGATTTATAAAAGGATAAATCTCTATAAAAAACATTAAAAATGAAGATCCACAAATACTACTGGCGATGAAAATACTGGAAAAACAGATCAAAAGATATGTTGTCAACTCTTCTGATTTTACTGCCAGGTTTGTAATGTTTGGTGTTTTTCTTAAGGCCCCAGCTATCAGAGTCAGTTGATTAAGTGCGAGTCAGCTCTCTTTCTCTCAGAAATGCACATTTCTAGCCCTAGCCCTCATGGTTACAGAGAAAATTGAAAACATGAACCTTAAAGGCTCCAAGACCAGATAGGTAATACCCCACCCCATTTTTTTTAAAATGTCACAAATTTTAAGCCAATCTCATGTTTTGGAGGGGCTTGATTCATGATGTTTGAATGCTTGGGGCTGGTAATGCAACAAAACGTTAAAAACAGGGAAAAGCAAGCCTAGTATTTTTCATACTTAACCAATATCAGGAAAACTAGTGGACATGGCATTTTATCACCTGGGATGATAGTTTCAAAGATTTTAGAAAGCCAGAAGAGACAATAGTGATCTTCTAGTCTGACCTCCAGTGTAACACAGACCAAGATTTTCACGCAGCAACTCTTGCATCAAGCCCATAACTTCTTGATAAAGTAAAACATATCTTTAGAAATTCTGATTTATAGAGACTTCAAGTGAGCAAGAATCAACCAAGTCTCTTAGTAAATTGACAATTCCTCTCACTTTTAATCTACCTTATTCCTAGTCTGCATTTGTCTAGCTTCTCCTTCCAGCCACTGGATTTGGACTTTGAGAGCTTTCTACTATCAGATGTCTCCCTATGCTAGACCTATGCTAAGGAATGGAATTCGTCATAGCAATTACAGCATGCACAAATACACCATAAATGTTAGTCTTAGCATCAGATAATTGTGTAGATGAACGTAAAACTACTTACTGAGAATCTCAATTCACAGCACATTCATCTTTCATCAGTAGCAGCTCTAGTTCCAGTCACTATTACTAATTCTTAATATTCCCTTTGCCAGCCTTCAGTCCTGGCCAGAACCATAAATTTCATTTCATATTCCCCTGGAGTACAGCGGGTAGGTCTTTAGTCCACAGTTTTAATAATTAATCCAGATGACCGAATAATCTTTTCACATTTATTTGATCCTCTTTTAGAGAAGATGATCTCTTCCCACAAATTCCAGTGCAAAGTGATGTAAGGATGCCCTGCAAAGGTGACTTTTCCCCAGTACTTAATTATGTAGTATGAAGGTTTGGGAGGGTTTCTTCCCTGCAAGAAAAGTTATTCTGCTCATTTTCTGCATTAGAAATTCAAGTTGTCTGGCCTGCAAGATTCCACGACCTTGTCTCCATAAGACACCTACCAGCAACACTGATGGTAGCAACAGTGGAGACTGTAGTGAAGACAGAGCACAGGTATTTTTTTTCCGTTGTGCTGTTTAATGCTACTTTGAGCAGGGGGAAAAAACAAGAGTGATAGACCCCCAACCTCTGAAGTTGCACAGATGGAAAATTACAGGTCCCAATTTTCTTTAGTCTTATCTACACTGGGAATGCACCGCCATTCCAACTACCTAAATAGCTTAGCATAGACCAGGAAGCTACAGTTTGCTCTGGTGGGAATTACTACTGTAAGCTTCGTTTTTGTGGCTCTCCTTGTCTATGCCAAGAGGCAGTTACATACTTGGCCACTAATGGCTGGAAGCAGGATAATTTCCAGTATAAACAAGGCAATACTGTAGACCCAGCCTACGATAACTGGAGAATCAATTAAATGTCTTAAGCAGCAGGATGATGAAACCCAACAACTGACAGAGGGAAAAGGTTTTTAAACCAGTCTGCTTAAGATGCTTGTAAGCTGCCAACATTCCTCACCAGCCTAGAGAATTATTAAGCATGCCTAAATCAGTCTTTAGCCCTTGCCTCCAATAACGACCAATAAACTCGCAAACGGAAAAACTTCCAACAGGGTCTCTCTATCCAGCCACAACTTACAGGCTTCTCACCTGAAGACTCCTTTCTCCAGTGACCACTACAGGAAACTGTCCCTTCCTCTACAACCTCCCTTCCACCCTCCCCCTCCCCACCCCCTTCCTGCAACTCTTTACAGGGAACACTTGTCCTATTCTCGGCTGGACCCAGGCCTCTGGCCCTTAGAGGGGCAGGCTATCCAGTAGCAATGCTGTTTGTTAACACCTATTTAATCACCAACTGACAGTTTGCACAGGAAGTTTCTGTTAAAGATTTAACACACTCTTTAAAAAACAGGGAGGACAAGAGCAGATATTTCCAAGGTTAAAAAACTGATTTTTTTAATTTGTTTTATAAAGAGGGGAGAGGGTTAAAACCACCTTTCAAGCGTTTATATATCATAATGGAGCAAAAAAGGCAAGTCCAATTTTAAAAGAAATAATTTCATAGGCCATCTTTAGAAGCTGTTCTACAGAAGGAGTGTTGTGAAGAAGGCACAGGATGGTAATTTATGCAGTAAGGAACTTGCTGATGTATGAGGCAAGCAACTCAGGAGTTATAAAGTACATTTTTAAAGGGTTATAATTCCATAGTGGCAACACTAGTTTTAGTTGAGGAAGCATCTTCTACTATAAAGTTCCTATTTTCAAGCACTGATACCTTTGGGATTAATTTTTCAATGACTGCTTTTAGCTGAAAAGAGAGTTTTTTGACCAATTTGGTAAAATTCCACTTAGACCTCTGAGTTCAACATAATAAAATAGTGTTTTTCAGATATTGAGAAGTATACCAGGCATTGTTTCTGTACATGGAATATTCCCAAATGGCTTGTGTTAAAAGACCTCCATACTCAACGTGTACTTAATACTTATATTCTCTTCTCAGTTTCACTGATGCAAACTCTCTATCATCCATGGAATTCCAATAGTACAACTAAGAAGAATTTGGCCCAGAAGTCTCAATCAAATGCTTTTGATGCATCTGAAAAGAAGTGTAGAAATATCAAAGTTGTGTGTCTGAAAGGAGATGAAAAAATCTCCTACACTACATTTTTAATCAAGTATAAAGGTGCT